TTTTTGGATGTTTTATTTATATTAGTTTTAAGCTTTAGAATATTTATGCAAAGTTTTAATCTATTTGGATAAACCCTCGAAAAAATAAATTAAGAAAATTGATTTTGACTAGGGTCGCCCCTAGTCCAAAATTGAAAATGTATTTCCTTCTTGGTTCTTTGTTCAAAAAAATTTTAGGATGTTTTATTTGTATTTATTTTAAGCACTTAAATATTTATGCAAAGTTTTAATCTATTTGGATAAACCCTCGAAAAAATAAATTAAGAAAATTGATTTTGACTAGGGTCGCCCCTAGTCCAAAATTGAAAATGTATTTCCTACTTGGTTCTTTGCTCAAAAAAATTTTTGGATGTTTTATTTATATTAGTTTTAAGCATTAGAATATTTATGCAAAGTTTTAATCCATTTGGATAAACCCTCGAAGAAAAACTTGAGAAAATTGATTTTGACTAGGGTCGCCCCTAGTCCAAAATTGAAAATGTATTTCTAACTTGGTTCTTTGCTCAAAAAATATTTAGGATGTTTTTTTGTATTTGTTTTAGAATATTTATGCAAAGTTTCAATCCATTTGGATAATTTTTCGAAAAAAAAAGTGAGAAAATTGTTTTTGACTAGGGTCGCCCCTAGTCCAAAATTGAAAATGTATTTCCTACTTGGTTCTTTGTTCCAAAAAAATTTAAGATGTTTTATTTGTATTTGTTTTAAGCACTAGAATATTTATGCAAAGCTTCAATGCATTTGGATAAAACCTCGAAGAAAAAAGTGAGAAAATTGATTTTGACTAGGGTCGCCCCTAGTCCAAAATTGAAAATGTATTTCCTACTTGGTTCTTTGCTCAAAAAAATTTTAGGATGTTTTATTTGTATTTGTTTGAAGCACCAGAATATTTATGCAAAGTTTCAATTCATTTGGATAATTTTTCGAAGAAAAAATTGAGAAAAATGTTTTTGACTAGGGTCGCCCTTAGTCCAAAATGTAAAATGTATTTCCTACTTGGTTCTTTGTTCAAAAAAATTTTAGGATGTTTTATTTGTATTTGTTTTAAGCCCTTGAATATTTCTGCAAAGTTTAAATCCATTTGGATAAACCCTCGAAGAAAAACTTGAGAAAATTGATTTTGACTAGGGTCGCCCCTAGTCCAAAATTGAAAATGCATTTCTTACTTGGTTCTTTGCTCAATAAATATTTAGGATGTTTTTTTGTATTTGTTTTAGAATATTTATGCAAAGTTTCAATCCATTTGGATAATTTTTCGAAAAAAAAAGTGAGAAAATTGTTTTTGACTAGGGTCGCCCCTAGTCCAAAATTGAAAATGTATTTCCTACTTGGTTCTTTGTTCCAAAAAAATTTAGGATGTTTTATTTGTATTTGTTTTAAGCACTAGAATATTTATGCAAAGTTTCAATGCATTTCGATAAAACCTCGAAGAAAAAAGTGAGAAAATTGATTTTGACTAGGGTCGCCCCTAGTCCAAAATTGAAAATGTATTTCCTACTTGGTTCTTTGCTCAAAAAAATTTTAGGATGGTTTATTTTTATTTGTTTTAAGCACTTAAATATTTATGCAAAGTTTCAATCACTTTGGATAAACTTTCGAAGAAAAACTTGAGAAAATTGATTTTGACTAGGGTCGCCCCTAGTCCAAAATTGAAAATGTATTTCCTACTTGGTTTCTTGCTCAAAAAAATTTTAAAATGTTTTATTTGTATTTTTTTTAACACTTGAATATTTGTGCAAAAATTCAATCCATTTGGATAAACCCTCGAAGAAAAAAATGACAAAATTGATTTTGACTAGGGTAGCCCCTAGTCCAAAATTGAAAATGTATTTCCTACTTGGTTCTTTGTTCAAAAAAATTTTAGGATGTTTTATTTGTATTTTTTTTAAGCACTTAAATATTTATGCAAAGTTTTAATCTATTTGGATAAACCCTCGAAAAAATAAATTAAGAAAATTGATTTTGACTAGGGTCGCCCCTAGTCCAAAATTGAAAATGTATTTCCTACTTGGTTCTTTGCTCAAAAAAATTTTTGGATGTTTTATTTATATTAGTTTTAAGCATTAGAATATTTATGCAAAGTTTCAATCCATTTGGATAAACCCTCGAAGAAAAACTTGAGAAAATTGATTTTGACTAGGGTCGCCCCTAGTCCAAAATTGAAAATGTATTTCCTACTTGGTTCTTTGCTCAAAAAAATTTTTGGATGTTTTATTTATATTAGTTTTAAGCATTAGAATATTTCTGCAAAGTTTTAATCTATTTGGATAAACCCTCGAAAAAATAAATTAAGAAAATTGATTTTGACTAGGGTCGCCCCTAGTCCAAAATTGAAAATGTATTTCCTTCTTGGTTCTTTGTTCAAAAAAATTTTAGGATGTTTTATTTGTATTTATTTTAAGCACTTAAATATTTATGCAAAGTTTTAATCTATTTGGATAAACCCTCGAAAAAATAAATTAAGAAAATTGATTTTGACTAGGGTCGCCCCTAGTCCAAAATTGAAAATGTATTTCCTACTTGGTTCTTTGCTCAAAAAAATTTTTGGATGTTTTATTTATATTAGTTTTAAGCATTACAATATTTATGCAAAGTTTTAATCCATTTGGATAAACCCTCGAAGAAAAACTTGAGAAAATTGATTTTGACTAGGGTCGCCCCTAGTCCAAAATTGAAAATGTATTTCTTACTTGGTTCTTTGCTCAAAAAATATTTAGGATGTTTTTTTGTATTTGTTTTAGAATATTTATGCAAAGTTTCAATCCATTTGGATAATTTTTTCGAAAAAAAAAGTGAGAAAATTGTTTTTGACTAGGGTCGCCCCTAGTCCAAAATTGAAAATGTATTTCCTACTTGGTTCTTTGTTCCAAAAAAATTTAGGATGTTTTATTTGTATTTGTTTTAAGCACTAGAATATTTATGCAAAGCTTCAATGCATTTGGATAAAACCTCGAAGAAAAAAGTGAGAAAATTGATTTTGACTAGGGTCGCCCCTAGTCCAAAATTGAAAATGTATTTCCTACTTGGTTCTTTGCTCAAAAAAATTTTAGGATGTTCTATTTGTATTTGTTTGAAGCACCAGAATATTTATGCAAAGTTTCAATCCATTTAGATAATTTTTCGAAGAAAAAATTGAGAAAAATGTTTTTGACTAGGGTCGCCCTTAGTCCAAAATGTAAAATGTATTTCCTACTTGGTTCTTTGTTCAAAAAAATTTTAGGATGTTTTATTTGTATTTGTTTTAAGCACTTGAATATTTCTGCAAAGTTTCAATCCATTTGGATAAACCCTCGAAGAAAAACTTGAGAAAATTGATTTTGACTAGGGTCGCCCCTAGTCCAAAATTGAAAATGCATTTCTTACTTGGTTCTTTGCTCAATAAATATTAGGATGTTTTTTTGTATTTGTTTTAGAATATTTATGCAAAGTTTCAATCCATTTGGATAATTTTTCGAAAAAAAAAGTGAGAAAATTGTTTTTGACTAGGGTCGCCCCTAGTCCAAAATTGAAAATGTATTTCCTACTTGGTTCTTTGTTCCAAAAAAATTTAGGATGTTTTATTTGTATTTGTTTTAAGCACTAGAATATTTGTGCAAAGTTTCAATGCATTTGGATAAAACCTCGAAGAAAAAAGTGAGAAAATTGATTTTGACTAGGGTCGCCCCTAGTCCAAAATTGAAAATGTATTTCCTACTTGGTTCTTTGCTCAAAAAAATTTTAGGATGGTTTATTTTTATTTGTTTTAAGCACTTAAATATTTATGCAAAGTTTCAATCACTTTGGATAAACTTTCGAAGAAAAACTTGAGAAAATTGATTTTGACTAGGGTCGCCCCTAGTCCAAAATTGAAAATGTATTTCCTACTTGGTTTCTTGCTCAAAAAAATTTTAAAATGTTTTATTTGTATTTTTTAGCACAAAAATATTAATGAAAAGTTTCAATCCATTTGGATAAATCCTCGAAGAAAAAAGTGACCAAATTGATTTTGACTATGGTCGCCCCTAGTCCAAAATTGAAAATGTATTTCCTACTTGGTTCTGTGCTCAAAAAAATTTTAGGATGTTTTATTTGTATTTGTTTTAAGCACTAGAATATTTGTGCAAAGTTTCAATCCATTTGGAAAACCCCTCGAAGAAAAAAGTGAAAAATTCGTAAGAAAGGAAAGTATTTTGATTTTTCTGAAGCAACGGCTGTTCCTACCTTTCCTTAAAACAATACATTTCTTCTATAGAGCAGCACGGATCAAATGTAAAAAACTAAAAGGCACTACGATATCTCGTTATTGAGATTTCTTGCTGATTAACTTGCTTACAGAAAGCATACTTTGCGATTTTTTAGCAATGCTCCAACCAATTTGAAATCTGTTTTTTTGCAAAAGATGTGAAATTCAAGGCACAAACTTTTTATCTCTGAACATTTTAAGCTATCTTGCTCCATATCCTCACAAAATTCAAAAAACTGATTTTTCAATCTGAACAAAACCAATAGATTCACACGTGAAAACGGTGTGAATATAATGAATATAATAAAAATCAAGTAAACTTTGGTTTTCAAAAACCCTAAAAAAAGAATGTTTTTTGCTTTTTTTGAAGCAACGGCTGTTCCTACCTTGCCCAAAAACAATACAGCTCTTCTATAAAGCAGCACGGATCAAATGTAAAAAACTAGAAGTCTCTACGATGTCTCGTTATTGAGATTTCTTGCTGATTTACTTGCTTGTAGAAAGCGTATTTTGTAATTTTCTCAACAATACCGCAATCAATTTGAAATCTGTTTTTGCATAAGATGTAAAATTTCAGGCACAAACTTTTCTTTTTTATACATTTATAGCTAAAACGCTTCGTTAACTCACAAAATCCAAAAAAAACTGATTTTTCGATCTGAACAAAAACAAAACATTCACACGTGAAAACGGTGTGAATATAAAAAACAGATTCCAAATTGGTTTCGGCATTGCCGAGAAAATTGCAAAATACGCTTTCTGCAAGCAAGTAAATCAGCAAGAAATCACAATAACGACACATCGTAGACTTCTAATTTTTTACGAGTGTTTTGTTTTTTCCCGAAAAGCGAAATAACGAAAAACCGTTATGAAGATAAATACGCACAGTATTGTTTTACGGTTCTGTGTCATGGAATATGACTATCGCAGATGAGAATGCAATTGGTGTATTTGAGCGAAAAGTTCTGCGAATTATAGCCAGCTTCAGGCACAATTTAAGGGAGTCGATGGATCAGAATTGATTTGTTTGTGACAAGTCACAAATCAATTGATTAAAGGGCTTTTATTAATTTCTTCAATAATTTAATGATTTACGTGATTTACAATTACGTTATTACATTTTTCCACTGACCGATTAATAAAATCATTAGACGATTTGTTCGAATTACTCGAATTACTTAAAATAGGATGAATATCAGGAATGTAGTAAGCAGGAGATTGTTGAAAGAAGTACACGCTATTATCCCTTTTAGCTCCATCAGCCTGATAAAAATTTGATAGCTTCCTTGTTTTCTCATTTTCAACATAGCGAACTGGTGGTTCTGATGTCGTCGCGTGATAATTATTATAAAGCTCAATTTCTTTAGTCGACGCAATTACTCGCTGTTGATAATAATCCTCATTTGTTTGACTCCCAATTGAACTATTGAAATTTGAATTATTATTTATCTCGGAATAATTGTTACTGGTTGAGCTTGCATACTTTATAAAGTTAGTACTAGTGCCACTTTGGATATCATTGATTCCATTGCTACCATTTATATGCTCAAAATTATGATTTGTTACTGAATTTGTATTGTAAATGTTAGGCTGGATATTCGATGAATCATAAATCGGTGTGGAACTTATATTTTGCACATTTGTTTCATTCTTAATTATTGGCTGATCCAGTTGAAAAATTTCTTCAGGCAAGAACTCGTATAAATCATTATTTGCTGACTGGAATGTTGTAACATTTTCTTGTCGATCATTTGTTGCTGTATATCCTGACTCATAGGATGGAAGATAATGATGATGATTTTCATCTGCAGCAGTATATTGTTGATAATGGTGCAAAAATTGATGATCATGGTGATAATTTGGGTAAGTAACAAATTGATTTGATGCTTGAGGATTCGAATTGAAACAGTAGACATCATTTGGATAGTTATACACGTGGCAAGAATTATTTTCGATGTTTAACGTTATGTTTGGCTTTGAATTAGAATCTGTAAATTTTAAACGGAAAAGAAATATTTGAATTTTGAAATAGATTGTCATAATTATTCAATTTAGGAAAAAAACTAAAATTGTTAATTAAAATTAAGTTTCTAAGTGGTTCAACAAGTTATTTTAGTGTATAAACATAACAAGTACCTTTAATAAGTGGTGGAGGCGCTAGAGGATCGTTAATTTTCTGTGTTTTTAACTTTCTACGATTTTCGGTGAGTGAAATTATCTGTAAAATTAATTGATTCATTGAAAATGAAATTAGCAAAATAATTAAGGTATCAAACCTTATTTCCAACGGCAGTTTCTCGTGCAAGTAACAGTGCAATGCCTTTTGATCGTCTTCCAATGCCCAGAGTCTTCCTTGATTCCGAATTTTTGGGCTCTGGTTTTAAATGATCATGAACGCCTTTTGCTTGAAAGAAAATTCCAAATTTTGTATGCCTCCAAAAGTGTGTAACTGGATATCCACAATGTCCTCTACATGCTAACACTTCCAGTCTTCCATTACAGTTTCTATTTGGGCAGTTCTTGCCTTGCTGTTTTCGTCTTGCTTTATCACAAATGGCAGGACGAAGATTTATTTTCGATCCATTTGGCAGCGTACATCCAGCAGAACAAACGAGTACGCCCAAACAGCTCTTCTTAAGTATATTAACATTATGATTATTCGTATTTCTCATAGCCCATCCAGAAATATGCTTTTTTGCATCTTCATTAATTAAACTGTAAACATAACGACAATGTCCATCAGCCCATTCTTGAAATTCATCTAATTCAGCTTCACTTATTGCTGGAACATTTGTATCGTTAATATCCCAATCAATTGTAGACGTTTGAGCCTTTTGAACTTGATAGTTTCCCGTTGATAAAGGTATTATTGACATTGATTGCTTCATTAATAATACGTTAAACTCGGAATTGTTGTGGCTGGTCAAATTGAAAAAAAAAAAAATAAATATATTTATATTATATGAGAAATTAAAGCACAAGAAAATAATCATTTTTCAACGCGTACAGTGTCGAAAGATTAACATGAAGTGAAGTCGGCTCTTAATTACTAGATCAGGTCTAATTGGAGATGAGAACTAAAACACGAAAAATTAATTTTCATCGAAACGAGATCATATTTAAATGGGAATATTTTGGTTCATACAATCATAAATCATTCGCAGTTGTGTATATTTCAATTGTTGCGTTATTCTCGACTCATTTCTCGTTTGTCCAAATTCAATTAATGTTACAAGTTCATTATTTGTTTAACCTTTATTGATTAAGTGATTAAGCGTTATTGTCCACAGATTGTCTGACTGAGCTTTATTGATGTCAAGATTTATATCTGAAAAATCCTCAAAAATTTTTAAAAATTATTTGACAACGTGTGAATTTGTTTACATATTTCGCCGTTATATGTTTTAATTATTTGAGGGCTAAATTTATGGGCAACAGAATTGATCAGTTCAATAAAGTGCGCTCTTATCGACTACATTCAAATTAGTTTCTATGTTTCTCTTTCAGTCAGTCTTAACGACTTAAAAAAACGACAAGTGGCGCCTTTATGTCTGAATATTCCTTTTTACTCATTGCCTTTCAATATCTCTAATTCTTCATATATCTCAATCATCAAATCAAGTGAGTCAAGATTAATGGATTATTTTAAATTCATGGAAATTCGAAAGATAGGTATAGATTTTTGAAGATTGTAAGAAGACGAGAAATTGGAACAAATGAATTTTTATGAAATTTCGCATAAATCACAAACCAATAAGTTAATTTTTATTTATCTTATTGATTTTATTGAATATCAAAAGACCACACGCATGTGTCGCGAGATACAACAATAAATGCCAATAATTTCTCTTACATTATTATCACAAATTCGAACCTTTCGGCTGTTGCATGTGGCGATCAAATTGAAAAGAGACCAAGAATCAACACAAAACAAAACAATAAACAAGTTTTATTGCTCGAAACCTTGGGTTTGTGCATTTATTTAATTCTATTCATGACAGATAGTTGATTCTTTTATTTTTATTGCCTTTTAGTCTATTCAAGATGTTGTTAAATTTATTTTCTAAAAACGATTTTGGACAATTTTTTTTTAAAAAAAAGATGTCAAGACTGATCAAAAAAAAAACTTAGTTTCATTGTTTTGTGCTCCTTTAAAAAAAAAAAAATAACAAAAGGCTTAAAAGAAATTATTAATCTAATTTATTCTTTATATATAGAACTGTATTTTATTAATACTTGGAAGACGTTTGAATAAATTACGAAAAAGTTTAAGACATTAAGAAAATTTCAAAAACAGCTAACACAATTTCGCTCGATCTCACGTTTTGCTAAAGATTATAAAATCGTCACCCAAATATTCTGTGATATTTTCATGTCATTTCTTTCAATCAAAATAATATCAAAACATAGAATTATTAGACCATATCAAAATGTTAAGGAATGAAAGTGTAATCGCAAGATAAACTATTAAAGGAATGAGAAAGAAGATTAAATTCTCATTTGTCAAATTACAATGCCAGTGAGCTTCTTGGTATGTTTATAAATCTCGTTTTTCGATGGACGTCATTAATGAACAGCCCCTTGAAAAATTGAGCTAAATTTGACTCCTTTGGTTGGAGATTAAGTTGGATTTAAGAATTCTCGGTTTATAGATTAAGCCTAAGAATTTAAAATTATTGAAACTTTGCACAACAAAATTACAGCTCAAACATAAAATTTTCAACAGCTTCTCTTTCGTTAACAGCTTTTGACATTGTTCCTTAATTCACAGAACCTTAAACGAAACTTTTTCACAATAGCAACTTCCTTCTTGTCTTGGTTCACTTACTGTATTACCATTATGATTGTAATGTATCCATAATTATTCTCTATTCGTTTTTTAAAAAAATTTAAAATCAATTTTTAAAAAAATTTTTAATTTAAATAAGTCTTAAATAGTCACAACAATGTTCAAAAAAAAATTTTTTTAAGTACTCTTAATCTCACTGAAACAATTTGTTGCTATGTGCCACAATAAAAGAGAATAAAATTTTATTCCTCAACGGGATTATGTTTTTGGTACTTGTTTATCGCGCTATGGTTATGATGGTACTGCTGGTTACGAACAGACACAAAATTGTCTTGAAAATTCGTATTGTTTTAGAGAAATCATGAATATTTTGTTATGCTAACGCGAGCATAGACAGCTAGAGAACTCCACTCACCAATGAAAACGAGCATTCAATTCCATTGGTTGGATAAAAAGTTTTTTTTTTTTTGGTTGCGCAACAGTGAGCATGTTATGTTATAGTTATTTTGCTTCTTTTGGTGCGACAGAATCGTAGGAAAAAATTATTTGACTATTAAACAGTAATTGAATGTCAGACGAACCCTTGAAAAAAAAACAGAGAATTTTTAATTGATAAACATGTGGGTCCTATGTACCATTTATTAAATTCTCTTTTTATGCTTCAATCTTCTCCTCTTCTTTTTGAAGGTCATTAATACTACTTACACAAAATGCATTTTCTTTTGTTGCTTACATTCTATTGAAATTTATTAATCACAATTGAAAGAAAACACGTGCAATGCCTGTTTAAATGATTAGACCCTCCTCTTACTCGTAAGAATTGTTTTTTTATATTGAGCAATGTTCTTCGAAGGGACTGTGGATTATGTTGTTATTTTGTCAGGAAGTTTGTCGAAATCTCAAATTATCAAAAATTTTGACACCGAAAAATTTAATTTGGGCTATCCAACACAAATGCGTCCGATTGACAAAATCAGCAGAATTTTACTAATTTTTGTTTTACAATTTTTACAAAGTGAAGGATCTCTAAATTTAATTCGTTTCCTTCATCTCGTTGAATCTTACAAGTGGTGTGAAAATTCTTCTATTTTTTGCTCATTTTTAGGAATGCTTATTATTATTTTTATTGTTGTACTTATTATACGGGCTTTATTCAAAGAAAAATTTTTATTCATATTTTGTTTATTCCCTATACATAGTATCAAAGAAATTTGCTTAAATGCACTTAATTAAATCACAAAAGAGAAACTGTTGCTTGAGCAATTCACATATTATATGAACACGATAATATTATATTGAAATTGAAATTCAATTACTTTTATATTTAGAATGAAAGTAGCCCTTATAAGCTTATTAAAACGTTTCAAATCTTATAATTTTCATGACAATCAATTCATATTCAATTTTTGTTGATAATGAATAGTTTTCGTTCTTAAATTGACAATTCTTTATTGTCTAATAATTGAGTATGAAGAATTATTTACTGATTGATGGGGAAAATCGGGAAGCTCAGGAGTAAAATGCTGAACACTAATTTTATTTTGAGTACCTATAAATGATCATTTTTAGAGCTTTTCCTAAAAATTTGTGATAAATGTTCTTCTTTTGTAAGATATTACGTTAATAAATTATTTGAAAATGAAAGTTTTATGATTTATTGAATTTTTAACGAACAACATGAATTTGAAATCAAATATAAAAATCCGAAAATTTATCATAGTTTGAGCCTGGTACACCAAACATGAATGAAAATTTTAAAAGCAAATTTTCATGGTATGAAAGAAATAAAGTTAAAACTTCGTTGTTAAGTTAGCTTTACAATGCACTGTTTAGCATTCAACCGATTTCTATCCAGTGCAAAAGGAATTTTACAATCAGCAATAATATTTTAACCATGCAAATTTAACTAACGAAAACCTGATCAAACCTTTTAAAAAACTGAATTTGAAAATTTGACACCTCATTTTTTTCAAGTTCCGATCGCTTAGTAAGGAAAATAACAAGAAGTTTTAAAATAAATATACGTAAGTTTTTACATTAATCGTCGAGCAGTATAATGAGTTTAATCGCCCATTGTGTCTGCTCTTCGTGGATTTCAAATCCGCCTTTGACAAAATTGATAGAGAATTGATGTGGCAGATTCTTGCTCGGTATGGCATACCTGCTAAACTCATTGACATCATCAAAGAGCTTTACTGTGATGCAGGCCTTCGAGTTTTGCACCATGGGTTAATAGGCAATGACTTTGAAGTTCAGTCGGGTGTTAAGCAGGGTTGCATTCTATCACCTCTTCTTTTCAACATTGTCCTCGATTACATCATGAGAAGAGTCACCAGGCGTAGGAGAGGTATTCCTTGGAATGTTTTTTCTACTCTTGTGGACTTAGACTATGCGGACGACATCGTTGGCATTACCGAGACAATGAGTGAGATGCAGAGTTTTCTGGATGACCTTATTTCGTGCGCCCATGATGTTGGTCTAGAAATCAACATTGCGAAAACTAAACTCATGCGCATTAACCCATCAAGACATACTCTACTCAGGCTCTGCATATAGGGAATGAGGTGGTAGAAAAAGTGGACAAGTTTGTATCCTTGGGCAGTATTATTTCTAAGGACGGCGGTGCTGAAGACGACGTCCGTAACCGCATTAGACTGGCCAATGCAGCTTTTGGCTCATTACGACATGTCTGGACCTCCCCCCGACTTTCGAGACGACTGAAGCTGAAGATCTTCAACTCGAACGTCAAGCCTGTACTTCTTTACGCATGCGAGACTTGGAAAGTTACAAAAGCTCTTACACAACGCATCCAAGTTTTCGTCAACAAATGTCTGAGACAGAGATCGAAGCCGATTTTTTCGGCTTAACTCAATTTTTGATTTTTTTGATAGAAAAGAGACATTTAACTACCATTTTAAGTATTTAAATTGAACTTTACATGCTTTACTATGATTCTGTGTAATATTTTGTCAGCATGTAGCTATAGTAAGCTCTGAATTTCAATATAGCCGATTTTAAGCCGATCGGCTTAACATTCTTTAACTTGAAATTCTGAGCTCACTATAGCTACATGCTGAAAAAATATTTCACAGAATCATAGTAAAGCATGTAAAGTTCAATTTAAATACTTAAAATGGGTGTTAAATGGCTTTTTTCTATCAAAAAAATCAAAAATTGAGTTAGGCCGAAAAAATCGGCTTCGATCTCTGGTCTGAGAGCAATATGTGGCATCTACTATCCTCAAACAATAAGGAACACAGAGCTGTATGCAATGACTAAACAACAAATTATTGCAGACGAAGTTAGGAAAAGGAAATGGAACTGGATTGGCCATACATTAAGGAAAGACCATACAGACATCGCGAGACAAGCGATTTTCTGGAATGTCCAAGGAAATAGGACAAGGGGCCGACGAAGAATTACTTGGCGTACAACTGTTGAACGGGAGGCGGAACAACAGAACAAGAAGCTGCAGGAAATAGCAGCTTTGGCCCAGAATCGAGTGCGATTCAAATGTTTTGTGGACGCCCTACGCTTCATAGGGGAGCAATAGGAACCCATCATCATCATCATCATCAAGTTTTTACATCTCGTCATTGTGTTTTATTTTGAGTTAAACTTTTAAGTAATAATTTTAAAGTCGAAATTCCCGGAAAGTCTCGATCTCGAGAATTAGTCGAGACCGATAAATCGAGAAAGCATACTCAGGAGGGGTGGATATGTGAATAGTATTCAAAGTATATCAAAACGTTTTCATTAGTTAATTAAAGCTTCCATTTTCTCCTCACTTTGCACCGGAATAATTAAATTGAATTTGCAGAAACTTCATGTTGTTTAGGTCACATGTTGAACTAAAAAAGAGTCTAAGAGGCAGTCAAATTGACATGAATAATGCATATTTACGAGAAAAGTTGGACTTTTTTTGAAAACAACTGAAAAATTAAATAAAAAGAGATAAATTCAAAATGAGACTTACATACGGGTTAATTATTTATGTTTAATATTCAGCAAAATAAGGCAAATAATATTAAAATAGGTAGTCATAAAGTTCAGGTGAAACTTATTTTAAGCATATTAAGTGAACTTGTGTCCTGCCACCATCATATTTTCGAAATTAATTTTAGAGTTCTTTTCTGTCTGTTTTATTCACTTTTTAATGATAATGAGCAGCAACAAGGGAGACAAAATAGCAAATTATCTTCTTCATTTTCTAGGTGCAATGTGTGACAACGCGCGAACGGGAATTTCATCAGCTGCTTTACGTTACTTACAATTGATTGAACAAAATGAGGAAAATGGCGATTCAAATTTGGAATCTTTGAGTTTGGATGTTTATGATAAATTGAAAGGAAATGATGTCGAGCAAGCTGCAAGTTTGATGCCATCATATAATGATCCGTTTGCTGATAATAAGAAAGATGATAGTTTAATAAACTCTTTTAAAGATTCATTGGCAAGAAATGAGAATAAGAAACCAGAAGACAGTTTAATGAGCTCGTACAGCAATCCGTTTGTTGATCGTCATGAAAATGAATTAGAATGCAGTTATATGAAGTCATTTAATAATCCATTCACTAAAAATATTGAGTCAATTGAGTCAAATGACAATTTCTTCACTGATAATATTATTCAAGATCCAGTCAATAGCCAAATGAAATCGTTAACATGCATCCTTGATGCCACAGATATTTTAATTGATGATTCTGATATCAATTACAGACCAGAAATAGCTCAAATGTCGTTCTTGTATTCACGAGATGATCAAAATTCAATTTTAGTTCCAAAAAGTTCCTCAAAATCAATAGAATTAGAATCAAGTTCAAGCAAAAGCTTTCCAAGTCCACCATTAAAGCGTTTTTGCTTTGACTCAAAAGAATCGTCCTTGAATAAGAGCAATGCGTATAATTCCGTGACTTCGGAGTCGCTCTTCAAAGAAACTGGAAAGAACATAAACTGCACAGATGACATTTTTGATATGCAGAACTTAAATAAATCAGATTATAGCATTTCCTCAGTTAATGACAATTCTACAACAAACAGTATATTTAAACAGTCTTTATCGTCGTCAATTCAAAGTGAAAACTCGGAATCTAACCTTGATTCGACTCTTAAAAACGTTATGTGCAAGGGTGATGACTCGTCAATCCAGGTAAATGCAACAGAATTGACAAGAATAAAGACTTGTAAGGTAAATACTTTCTATCAAGCTCCTCGCATACTAAACAATAAAAAAATTGATGAATTTTATAACATTTATGATTCAACTGATTGGAAGTCCGAGAATATCGATTTAGATAACATTATGGAACCATCTATAGACTATTTACTGTATAAATTCAAATGCTTGAGGCCTTTAACGACTGGAAGGAAAGATTATTCTATTAGCTATAATGATAAGGATGGCTTCGATTCTGATTCAATAAATCAAGGTTTAGATGAGATTCAAGATTCATTTGATAATCGAAATTTCATTTGTTCAACGCCAGAGGAGTCTGAAAATCCAGATGATAAAACGAATCTTCTCAAAACTGTTGACTTGAATATGGCAGTTAATGCTGTTACTTCCAAAAACGTTTGTCAAGAAGACGATGATAATAATACAACAAAAAGCTTCCTTGTGAATAAGAAATCTAAAAATGTCTGGTCAGCAATTACGCACGTTTCGTGTTCTATTCCTTTAATTGAACAAGAAAGTAGTGAGCCACAATTTGATATAACTACGATTTTTGATTTTTCAAATCAGAATGAGTTCCCTAATGAACAAGAGAGCCTGAATAATGATACCGCTCGATTTGAGCTAATGCTTTCCGTTTTAAAAGATTGCAATAATTCTGTGGACAAAACAACGTCGGAAGTCCAGGAAACATTAAAGTGAGTACTTGATAAATTTAAACTTTAATGATTTTAATTACAATATTCATTTATTTTTATTAATTTAAATTTCTAATTGCTAAAGAATCGCGAAAAATCGAAAGGCTGCAATATTCGCTCAAATTGAAATGTTAACACAAGCCTTAGTAACGTCACTTGTCAATCAAAACGCCATGATAATAAAACTTCATAGAATTAAAGATTGGAAAGATTGCAAATATGAGAGTAACGTACTTTCCCAAAAAGAAACTGCAATCAAAATCAAATCATTGAGTTTTACGAATAAAAATACAGAGCGAACATTTACGATTTTCGTTCATTTGTTGGGTGAGATTTATAAGTTGTTGGGTCAAAACATCACGTGCACAAAACGAGAGCTTTATTATCGTGACGTAGAGCTAACGAAAAGTCAAGTCTCTGTGAATAAAGCAATTGATGAAATTTGTTCATTATTAAATGTACAATGTTGGGAATTAGGAGTACTTTCAACATCAAAAGGTCTTGTTGCTGGCGACTTGAGAATCATAACTGATGAAGATGAATTAATTGATTATTCTACAACCAATTCAGTTCCTCAAAAGCCATCAGGAATCAAATCAATGGAATCAAATGCTGAGTATGTTTTAGTCGTTGAAAAGGACACAGTATTTACACGCTTGATTGAGGAAAACATTATGGAAAAGATTGGAAAGAAAATAATCTTAATTACGGCAAAAGGCTATCCAGATATAAATACACGTGTTATGCTCAAAAGAATTGAAATGGAATTGCAAAAACCTATTTATATAATTGTTGATGCTGATGCTTATGGAATTGATATTATGTGTACCTACAAATTTGGATCACTACAAATGGTAAAGTTTTCGGAGCAGCTTGCTGTACCCACAATGGAATGGATTGGGTACGAATGTCCGTTTTTATTTCACTATACAATTTTATTTATATGAAATTTGATTCTTTTTTAAAGGATATATCCCACATCCATTGAAAAGCTCGACATCACAAGAACTCAACTGACAGATGCCGATGTAAAGAAGGTTGACGAACTTCTGGCTCGTCCTTATATTAATGATCATTTAAAGACTGAGTTAGCACATTTGAAGAATCGAGGATTAAAAGCTGAAATTGAGAGCATATATCATTTTTCAATAGACTATTTGATTCATGACTACATTCCACAGACGATTGCAGCTATTCCAGGTCCAAATAGAGAAATTATCCGAGGAAGTAGCTGCTTTAAGGAACATTTATTTTCTTAATTACTCTATTTGAATTTTTTAATGGTGTTTTTTCGTCCAAATTGTGAAAAACGGTTTGTGTAGCAAATAATTTTTTAATTTTTTATGAAAGAATAAAATATAAAGCATTACTTAATATTTGACGCAGCGATCATTATTTGATTATTTATTTATTTTGCGTTCATTTACAGATCATTAGAAGTTTAGAAGATTATTCATTTAAGTGTAATTAACAAATAATTATAATGAGTGCTTTTATAGAAAGACTTTATTATTTAAAGGTCAATAAATAATTTGAAATATTTCCGTTAAAAGTTGCACTACAATAACATCAATTATATTATAATCAATAATTTGTTGCAAAGAATTTCCATACAGCAAGGGTTTATCATTAAACTTTTTTTTGGAATTCAAAGTTTTTAACGGTCAATAAATAATTTGAAATATTTCCGTTAAAAGTTGCACTACAAAAACATCAATTATTGTATAATTAATAATTTGTTGCAATGAATTTCTATACAGAATAGCTTTATCATTAAACGTTTTTTTGGAATTCAAAGTTTTTATCGGTCAATAAATAATTTGAAATTTTTCCGCTAAAAGTTGCACTACAAAAACATCAATTATATATTATATAGTATAATTAATAATTTGTTACAATGGATTTCCATACAGAAAAAGTTTATCATTTAACGGTTTTTTGAAATTCAAATTTTACAACGGCCAGAAATTATAGAGGTAATGTTGAATTTTTTAAACGTACTCATCACGTGGTTTTGTTTATGAAATAAAAAACCAATAATTATAGTATAAATACACTGTTTCAAGACTTTTAACTGTTCGATCGGCCAATAAATCAATAGTAATGGAGCTAATAAAATAAACCTGAGCTCTCTACGATGTCTGGTTAAAAAGTTTTTCTTGAGACGAACGAACGAACAAAGTGCATTATTAAGCTCCCTTGTCGTATAAAAGTTTACAAAAATGCGCTAAAAACGGTGTGAATATGAAATTCAAAAATCTTCATGAATTGAAAAAAAAATTTAGTTTAATAAAGTTATTAATTAATTACTAATAGCCAATTTATTTTTTAAGCGATAGATTCTCAAAATACTATTGGAACTATTAATTTCTCATAAGCTAAAATCCCCTTTAATACAGGAAAAAGAATTTAAAATTTAAGGATGGATATTCCTAGAAATGTTAACCTTCACTTTTTTCACGCGTGCCGATAGATAATACGCATTGAGTCAAAACACCTTTGAACTTAATATTTCTTCATCACGCAATCTTTAAAAACGTGTGAACTAGATAATTTCAAAACTTTTACTTCTGATAATTTGATGTTAGTTTCTCTAACTTTATGGACTAGAATTTTTTTTTCACACGGTATTGAATATTAGTTTTTGAAAATGTTATTGATGCTTTTGCCCGCATCGATTAAAAATCAGAAACCATCAATTTTGATTGTAATCAACAGCGTTTATTAGAATAAAATCATTTATGTGAACTATATTAGAAGAATGAGTCCAAAAAGTTTTAACTTAACCAGAAAAAGTTTATTAAGACATTAATGCGTGTTGAGTGCGTTGCTTCGTGATAAATACAAAACAATACATTTTTTCGACCTACGACAACCGAGAAAAAAACATTTATGTTTGTCAATTGGTTTTATAAAATAACTTCATTAGTTTGTTTTAACAACATGAATAATGTTAGAGATGATCATGAGTAGAATAAATTCTCTGAATTCTTGTTAGAATTTGAATTCTTTTCTTTGCTTCTAAAAAAAAGCAGACATTCTATGAATATATCTTGATGCACCATACGTATTGATCTTTGACTCCTTCTGAGTTCCACGCTAGGCTATACATGTTGAAAAATAAATATTGGGAATTTTTTCCTTCTCTACAGAATATTTTTATATTTTTCATCTTAACTTTTCAGTCATCAACAGTTCTATTGGAAATACAAAAATATTCGTGGAATGAAAGTGAACATAGTTTCGCATTAAAAATTATTATACACTTGTTAATATTTGATTATTGAAAGGAAATTTGTTCATGTTGTGTGCATTTTATTGATGAATTTATCAAGATTTTGTATTGTTTCTTGCAACATGTATGGAGCATTTAAGATTAAAAAATTACAAAAGTCCTCGTGTTATTGATCGAGGGACTTCAGCGCATATTTAAAATTTAAACTATCATCACATGTCATAACAGATATCACGGTTAGGAAATGTTCACTTATTACGTTCACTTTTTAGGTGGGGGTCTAGGATTTTGTAACAGCTAAAATAAAATTTGTAACAAGGAGGGGTCTAAAATAACGCAACAAGGAAACGAGCTGTAATTAGATAATTAGGTGTAAATGTTTGTTACAGTCAATTTCAAGTAAAGTATCACTCATCAAAATTATTAAGATGTTTATCGGGAACAAAACTTTTAAGTAGCTTATGGCTTTGTCTGGATGTTGAGGGTGAATAAATAATTATATTCACACCGTTTTCACGTGTGAATCTATTGGTTTTGTTCAGATTGAAAAATCAGTTTTTCGCATTTTGTGAGAAAACAAAGCAAAATTGGTTATAAAAGGTCACAGAAGAAAAGTTTTTGCCTGAAATTTTACATCATTTTCAAAAAACAGATTTAAAATTGGTTGTGGCATTGCTGAGAAAATCGCAAAATACGCTTTCTGTAAGCAAACAAGCAAGCAAGCAAGTTAATCAGCAAGAAATCTCAATAACGAGACATCGTAGAGACTTCTAGTTTTTTACATTTGATCCGTGCTGCTCTATAGAAGAGCTGTATTGTTTTTGGGCAAGGTAGGAACAGCCGTTGCTTCAGAAAAAGCAAAAAACTTTCCTTTCTTACGAATTTTTCAAATCAAAAGTTCACTGTGATTTTTTTTTATTTTAAATTAAACTTTGGATGAAAAAAATTTTTTTGAGCAAAGAACCAAGTAGGAAATACATTTTCAATTATGAACTTGGGACAGGTCTAGTCAAAATCTAGTTTTTCACTTTTTTTCTTCGAAGGTTTATCCAATTACAGTGAAACTAAGTGTGAGTATACTAATATTTATACAAAACATATAAATTTGGTTGTACATTCAAAAACAACGTGACTGAAAATTTTGTCCAAAAAAATGATTTTTATTAATTAAGAAATGTGAAACCTGAAAATTAGAATGCTCATACAAAGTTTTACTGTATTTGAATTTATCCTCGAAGAAAAAAGTGAAAAACTAGATTTTGACTGGACCTGTCCCAAGTTCATAATTGAAAATGTATTTCCTACTTGGTTCTTTGCTCAAAAAAATTTTAGGATGTTTTATTTGTATTTGTTTTAAGCACTATAATATTTATGCAAAGTTTCAATCCATTTGTATAAACGCTCGAAGAAAAAAGTGACAAAATTGATTTTGACTAGGGTCGCCCCTAGTCCAAAATTGAAAAAGTATTTCCTACTTGGTTCTTTGCTCAAAAAAATTTTAGGATGTTTTATTTGTCGCCCCTAGTCCAAAATTGAAAATGTATTTCCTACTTGGTTCTTTGCTCAAAAAAATTTTAGGATGTTTTATATGTCGCCCCTAGTCCAAAATTGAAAATGTATTTCCTACTTGGTTCTTTGCTCAAAAAAATTTTAGGATGTTTTATTTGTATTTGTTTTAAGCACTATAATATTTATGCAAAGTTTCAATCCATTTGTATAAACGCTCGAAGAAAAAAGTGACAAAATTGATTTTGACTAGGGTCGCCCCTAGTCCAAAATTGAAAATGTATTTCCTTCTTGGTTCTTTGCTCAAAAAAAATTAGGATGTTTTATTTGTATTTGTTTTAAGCACCAGAATATTTATGCAAAGTTTCAATCCATTTGGATAAACCCTCGAAGAAAAAAGTGACAAAATTGATTTTGACTAGGGTCGCCCATAGTCCAAAATGTAAAATGTATTTCCTACTTGGTTCTTTGCTCAAAAAAAATTAGAATGTTTTATTTGTATTTGTTTTAAGCATTTGAATATTTATGCAACATTTCAATCCATTTGTATAAACCCTCGAAGAAAAAAAGTGACAAAATTGATTTTGACTAGGGTCGCCCCTAGTCCAAAATTGAAAATTGATTTTCTATGGTTTACTTTTGTCAAAAAAATTTTTTGGATGTTTTATTTGAATTGACATAATTCTGACATAAATTACATACCAATATTACTTTTTGTAATGCATAGCTTAAAAAATAACGAAATCTAAAATTTCGACTACCCCACCTGAATTTTGTTCATACTCTTCACTGTGGAAACCAAAAAAAATTTCTTATCTTAAAAGACTTGACAAACTAGCGACATAATTCAGAATTATTTTCTTTTTAATAATATTTTTAACATTTACGAGAAAATGTGGTTCAAATAAGTGTGAACTATGGCCGAGATTTGGCCCAAAATCAGCTATACTGGTTCATAGTGTTCCCGAGGGTGACAAAATTCAAACTAAGTGTTTTTGGAGCTGACAAAATTATGACATAAATTAGGTATATCTTTTGAACTGTGTCGATATGGGTCTCGGCCGTACTTCACGCCCACCCTTCACACTTATGCTGAGCAAATCTTGGTCCATCCATAAGACTTTTGATGGTACGGTGTGAATATATCCGCATTGGGTTTCTACCCGATACACGGGTTTTTTAGAGGAATTGCTGAATTTAATGGACTGACATGCAATTTACATTAATAAAATATGTACACGACATATGTTAAAAAGTAGCATGAAGCTTGTTCAATTGATTCATTTAGACGAAATAACCATTCTTGAATTTATTAAACTAAACATTTCTTTAGATTGAACTATGCATGTCAAAATGTCAGAATATTACAAAGTCTCTTTGCCTTTTGCCTTTTGTATATTCTATTTGATATATAAAGCATACTGAATTATTCATTCCCTTTTTGATGTTATATTATTTTCTATTAAAACTGTTAATTCACTCCTTTCTCTGCCTGCCTAATAGGGTTGACATATTTTTCTCTCAATTTATTATTTATTAAACACTTTCACTATTTGCTGTTTGCTATTTGTACCAATTCACATTTCACAAAAGATTTAAATTTGCTATTTTCGAGAGGGTATAGTTCCATTTCGATCCTAAACATTGGATT